AACACAATGATCAGCCATAATATAACATAAAAGAAAAATATTACTTGTATATAATTTGAGTAAGTTTTTGTTGGGTTAGATAGAATCCACTTACTTGTCCCCTATGCCTTGTTCGCTTTCCCTTTTTATATAGCTATTCTGGCTCTTACCTCATCCGTTGGATTTTGCTTTGATCAAAGGGTTTTGCCCAAAGCTGACTTTGGTCGAGCAACTTGCCAAGTATGCTTTGCCTTTGATTGTTGGAATGTTAGCATCTGCGCCCTCAAAAATCAATTTGTTGACTTTGTTGACTGATTAAATAAATTGCTTGGCATTTTATTTTGCACGTTGTATATTATTATTATGGGTAATGTTATATTTAATGTTACATATGATCTGAACATAAAGTCCCTTGGGTAACATTGTAGAAAAACATTCTAATGGTTAATGAGCCAAAAGCTAGGAGTTATGATTTTTCGATGCCTTGTAGACCCAATTAATGTTCTAGGCTATGGGTGTTAATTGGGCGTCACACTACTATGGCCTACATCTGTTTTGCTGCTATATAATAGAATGATTAACTCCATCATTGAGGTAGTGACCTTAGGCAAATAGGTGGGTGTTATGCAATAAGTACAGGCACTGAACATGATCGATTTTGAGAACACCTATGGAATGATCACTGTCAGTTTAAAAGATAGTTCTATTACAATACACTTATTTTCTTTTGACCTGAGAGGCTTGTATAAATGAATTAACTATTCATTTAACTTTGACATTGTCAATCGGTGACGCCGAATCAAAGGCTATACACGGACATGTTGGGTTATGTGAGTGGTAATTGATTTATATAGGTGCTTAACATGGAATCCACCATTCTCAAAGTGAGAAAGTATATTCAAGCAATTTTTCCTATTAACATTGGACCAAAAGAAAACCGACCGGTTACTTTTTCATAAAAATATTTTATACATATATATATAATTGTAAAAATACTATTTTTTGGAAAATACTATTTTTTGGGTCCAATTAGAAGACGGAAAAATTTAGAATTGCTCGAGCGGCCAATACCACGCTCGAGCGTACAACGCTGCACAGGAAAATACTGAATGGGTATAATCTCCGTTCGAGCGCTAAAACCCCCGCTCGAGCGTACAGGCCAAAATCTGGGCAACTAGTTTTGGTTTCTAAACTCGACCAACCTGTAACAAACCCGCCCAACACATCCCATAACTCAAATACTAAGTAAAAAGGATGTAAACAAGATAATAAACAACTACCAACATCCACGGACACATGTCCGGATCACTGTTCAACAAGGGTAAACCCGGGATCGCTATAATGTGAGTGGCAATTGATTTATATAGGTGCTTAAAATGGAATCCACCATTCTCAAAGTGAGAAAGTATATTCAAGCAATTTTTCCTATTAACATTGGACCAAAAGAAAACTGGCCGGTTACTTTTTCATAAAAATATTTTATACATATATATAAAATTGTAAAAATACTATTTTTTGGAAAATGCTTTTAGGGTCCAATTAGAAGACGGAAAAATTTAGAATTCGGTTAGATGAGTTAGGGCTTTTGATAGTGATAAATTTGTCCATATCTAATAGCTCATGTGGAATATAGTTTGGTGGAAGGAAATTTGTGATTAATTGCAAGAAAGGGCCTCACTTGTAATTCTCTACTTTTAGGGGTTTAATTGTAATGTGTTGATAGACATTATTGCAATTAGTGAAAGTTCTATATTATCTGTTTAAAAGATAATTAATGAAAAATTGGATAAGTTGTATCCTGCATATTTAAGATAAAAGATACATCTTTTATTTTATCCCCATAACTAAAAGATAGAAATCGCTGAGTATCTCACCTACATGCAAACTCTATCATGTGTTGTGTATATATATCAGATGTATTTGATATAAAACTTGGCCATCAGAATTTTAAGGTCTGTAAAAAATATATATACACAAAGATAAATCAAAGAGGGTGCAAGGTGAATCACTTTGGAGGTGAGATACTTGGATCGCTTGGTGAGGTATTAGGTATTTTAGAATGTGCAATCACGTGATGTTTCTTTAAAAAGTGTTTTTTTAAATAAATTATTTTTCCGCAAACTTTCATTGGTATCAGAGCCGGCCACTTTGATTGCATGAATCTATATTTTGTTTTTCATATTTGGATATTCAATGTTATCTTGCGTAATAGTTGATTATATAACTTGTGAATATATAATCTATATTTTTCTTGTAATAAAAAAAAGGGGACCAAAACGGTGAAAAGAACAGGCGCCATAAAATAAAATAAAATAAAAGTTATTGTTTAATCGGTGCAAGTGCACCCGATTTTTGTTTAATTATTAGATTGATCTAAAAAAAAATAATTATTATTTTATTTTATTTTTCCTCTTTATTGATTGATGTCACGTGGCCCAGTTCTAGAGGGTTGGTTCACCAAAACCCCTCTGTCATGATTAAAAAAAAAAATGGTTACTGTTTAAATTCGATGATAAAGGTGCAGCCTAAGTTTTTGTTTTTATTGTTGGATTGGCTAAAGCAAACTTTCACATGCAATTGTTATTATTACTGTTGATGGCATGTACATATCCATGATTGCAGTTTCCCATGATTATAGTTTTTGAGAAAAAAATTAATAAAAAAATAAATAAAATAAATAATAATAATAATAATAAGGAGAGGGCTGCATATCCATGATTGCAGTTTTCCGTGATTATAGTTTTTGAGAAAAAAATTAATAAAAAATAAATAATAATAATAATAATAAGGAGAGGGCTGCTGACCCGTGTGCCGACCTCACCGACACGTGTAACGATGTCATCTGTTATTACCATGCGCTGGTACAGACGTGGACTTATTAAAGCCCTGTTTGTTTGGTTTTTTAATTTAAAATTAAGTTAATTGTTTCTATATTATTCGTTGTAATTCTGTTTGAAACATGACTTTTACCATTGGACTCGTAATTATTTTTTCTACAAGATTATAAAGTTTAAGAATTTTATGAAAAATAAAATATTTTTTCATTAATGAATAATTCAATTTTTTATGTTAAATTGCTCTTGGTGGAGCATGACTTGGATTTTGGACCTGAAATTTTTACAGTAGACTAATGCTATGTAATTTTATTTACTGGTATAATTTTTGTATTTTTCAGATTCTGTAATATTTATTTCTAATTTTCTGTGTAATTATTAATTACTTATAATTCTAGAAAATTTCAAAAAATTACAAAAATCATAGAAATATGCTATGGCATTATGTAAATATTGTACACAACATGTTAAGATCTTTTAAATGATTAGACCTTGTAGTATATTGTTATTTTAAATAACATGATTTATTTATGTTGATGAATTTTAATTCCATGATTAAATATTCTAACATGTTTTATTTTATGAATTACATTGAGATGTTATCATGTGGAATTAATGTTTTATCATGCTTTAGACATGCCATAGTTAGTGGGAGGTTGTTCAGTTGATAAAAATCTTTGTAGTTTTTTTCTCCTGAAAATTATTTTACTGTTGATGGCATATAACCATATTCATGATTATATATATATATATATATATATTTGTGGGTTTCATGTTACTTATGATAACATGAAAATTAATTTGTTAATTTATGGAGATAAATTAGTTATAAATGTTATTGGTACCCCATTTTAATAATTAAGTGTTAAATAGGATTATTTTAAGAAAAAATAATGCCTATGGCCCTCCATTGTTGGTAAATAAAAATTATGATTAATTGAGATTCAAATGATACCAAAAGGGTCAGTTGAGTTTTAATTAATTAGTTTGTTTTATTTATTTTGTAAAGAGTATAAGTGTGACTAGTGGGAGTGTCGGCTAAAATGAAGGCATAATCTTACATGTTCATGCTATGTAACTAAACAATGGTTTGCACTTAAACAAATAGTATATGGTAACCAAAAGGTGTCATATGAGTTGATTTGGAGGCCAAAAGAAAAATTGGGAGTCATAAATAAATTCAATTTTTCTAAAAGAAAAAGAAAAAAGAAAAAAGAAAAATGGTAACATGAGATGATATTATGATGGGTAGTAGCTACCCATCCATTCAAGGTATGTTTACTTATTTCAAAAGAAATTTTTGTACATACAGGATTGGTTTCCCAATGCTCACTATGAATGTTTTAAATATAAGTGTTATATTTGTGGGGTTATAAATTATTTGAATAATAATTCTAGTGAGTATTACCATAGTAGATTCAAAATCCCACATCCTATGGATTTATGTACAATGCAATACTTATATTCTTCTGACACATGTTTTAATTTTTTAACATATGCAGTTAAAAAATAACCCAACTTTAATCCTTTATAAAAAATTCTTAATGATAATCATTTGACTAGACCAAACTATGTGGAGTGGAAGAGAAATTTAACAATTGTCCTCACTGCTGAAAAATTGAACCATGTCCTAACCACTGATCCACCTAAAAGGGTCAGTTGGGTTTTAATTAATTAGTTTGTTTTATTTATTTTGTAAAGAGTATAAGTGTGACTAGTGGGAGTGTCGGCTAAAATGAAGGCATAATCTTACATGTTCATGCTATGTATCTAGACAATGGTTTGCACTTAGACAAATACTATATGGTAACCAAAAGGTGTCATATGAGTTGATTTGGAGGCCAAAAGAAAAATTGGGAGTCATAAATAAATTTAATTTTTCTAAAAGAAAAATAAAAAATGGTAACATGAGATGATATTATGATGGGTAGTAGCTACCCATCCATTCAAGGTATGTTTACTTATTTCAAAAGAAATTTTTGTACATACAGGATTGGTTTCCCAATGCTCACTATGAATGTTTTAAATATAAGTGTTATATTTGTGGGGTTATAAATTGTTTGAATAATAATTCTAGTGAGCATTACCATAGTAGATTCAAAATCTCACATCCTATGGATTTATGTACAATGCAATACTTATATTCTTCTGACACATGTTTTAATTTTTTAACATATACAGTTAAAAATGACCAACTTTAATCCTTTGTCCAAAATTCTTGATGATAATCGTTTGACTGGATCAAACTATGTGGATTGGAAGAGAAATTTAACAATTGTCCTCACTGTTGAAAAATTGAACCATGTCTTAACCACTGATCCGCCTGCGCTTCCTGAGGCGGATGCCACTGATGAACAACGTGAGGCTGTTAGGAAGTGGCATGAGGCAAATGATGTTGCAAAATGCTACATATTGGCCTCAATGACCAATGTGTTGCAAAAGCAGCATGAGAGTGTTCCTACTGCAAAAGACATGATGGTTAACTTGAAAGAAATGTTTGGAGAACAGAGCAGAAGTGCACGCCAAACAGCCATGAAAGGTTTGATGTCCACCAAAATAGGGGAAGGTACTCCAGCACGGGAACATGTTCTAAAAATGATATCATTCATTAACATACTGGAAACTTTGGATGTAGATATTGACGGTGAAACTAAAATTGATGCCGATAGTTTCATCTTTACCAGATTCTTATAATCAGTTTATTTTGAATTACAATATGAATAAGATGATTGTTGCACCATCAAAGCTGCTCAATATGTTGCAAGCAGCAGAGGATCTTACTAAAAAGAGCCAACCCACTGTGATGATGGGTGAGAAGGAAGGTCCTAGAAAATTCAAGCCTAAGGGCAAGAATAATTTTAATAAGAAACCTACGGGTTCCAAATTCTCTAGAAAAACACTAGGTGTTCTTAAAAAGGGCATAGATAAGAAGAAAAGCAAAGGAAATTGTTTCCATTGCGGAAAGCCTGGCCATTGGAAGAGAAACTGCCGTCAGTACTTGGCAACACTGAAAAAGGACAAACCTTCGGAAGGTATGTTAAATTTGTTTTGTTATTGAAACCAATTTATTGATTGGTCCTCCTAATGCTTGGTGTGTAGACTCTGGTGTAACCTCACATATTTGCAATATGTTGCAGGGGTTCAAGGAGACCAAAAGGCTTAATGAAGGGGAGATGCTAATAAAGTTGGGAACAAGTGCAACAGTTGCTGCAGTTTCCATAGGAACTTTTTATTTGAAATTATAATAAGACTTTAGTTTTAGAAGATTGTCTATTTGTGCCAGATATCCATATAAATTTAATTTTTGTTTCAAATTTATTTTCGTTGGGATATTGTTTTTCCTTTTCTTCAAAAGTTGTTATTAAGCACAATAACAAATTTGTGGTTTCTGGCATTTTAATAGATGGTCTTTACTTTATTAGTCCTATTGATAATTCCATTAATTGTGGTGAGAATGATATATCCATTGGTATGTTACCCCTTAAAAGAAAAAGAGAGGTTAATCAAACTCACATGTGGCACTGGAAACTTGGTCATATCAATTTAGAACGTCTAAATAGATTGGTTAAGGATGGGCCTTTAGATTTTTTGAAAATTGAGCCTTATCCAATTTGTGAGCCTTGCTTGCAAGGAAGAATGTCTAAAATTCCATTTCTGGGAAAAGGAATTAGAGCCACAAAAGTTTTGGAATTAATACACACAGATGTTTGTGGTCCAATAAATCACATAACAAGAAGTGGTTTTTACTATTTCATTACATTCACCGATGATTATTCTAGGTATGATTATTTATACCTAATATAAGTCTGAATCCTTTGAAAAGTTCAAGGAATTTCGTAGCAACTTGGAAAAAGTATCAAAGGTCTTCGATCAAATCGTGGGGAGAATACCTTTTAGATGATTTTCGAAATTATTTAAAAGAGAATCGTATTAAATACATGTGTAATTGGTTTTGAGTGCAAGTGGGAGAATGTTAGCATTTGTGCCCTCAAAAACCAATTTGTTGACTTTATTGACTGATTAAATAAATTGCTTGGCATTTTATTTTGCACTTTGTATATTATTATGGATAATGTTATATTTAATGTTACATATGATGTGAATATAAAGTCCCTTGGGTAACATTGTAGAAAAACATGCTAATGGTTAATGAACCAAAAGCTGGGAGTTATGATTTTTCGGTGCCTTGTAGACCCAATTAATGTTCTAGGCTATGGGTGTTAATTGGGCGCCACACTACTATGGCCTACACCTGTTTTGCTACTATATGATAGAATGATTAACTCCATCATTGAGGTAGTGACCTTAGGCAAATAGGTGGGTGTTATGCAATAAGTACATGCACTGAACATGATCGGTTTTGAGAACACCTATGGAATGATCACTGTCACTTTAAAAGGTAGTTCTATTACTATACACTTATTTTCCTTTGACCTGAGAGGCTTGTATAAATGAATTAACTATTCATTTAACTTTGACATTGTCAATCGGTGACGCCGAACCAAAGGCTATACACGGACATGTTGGGTCATGTGAGTGGTAATTGATTTATATAGGTGCTTAACATGGAATCCACCATTCTCAAAGTGAGAAAGTATATTCAAGCAATTTTTCCTATTAACATTGGACCAAAAGAAAACCGGTCGGTTTCTTTTTCATAAAAATATTTTATACATATATAATTGTAAAAATATTATTTTTTGGAAAATGCTTTTAGCGTCCAATTAGAAGACGGAAAAATTTAGAATTCGGTTACATGAGTTAGGGCTTTTGATAGTGATAAATTTTTCCATACCTAATAGCTCATGTGGAATATAGTTTGGTGGAAGGAAATTTGTGATTAATTGTAAGAAATGGCCTCACTTGTAATTCTCTACTTTTCGGGGTTTAATTGTAATGTGTTGATGGACATTATTGCAATTAGTGGAAGTTCTATATTATCTGTTTAAAAGATAATTAATGAAAAATGAGATAAGTTGTATCCTACATATTTAAGATGAAACATACATCTTTCATTTTATCCCCACAACTAAAAGATAGAGATCCCTAAGGATCCCACCTACATGAAAACTCTATCATGTGTTGTGTATATATATCAGATGTATTTGATACAAAAATTGGCCATTAGAATTTTAAGGTCTGTAGAAAATATATACACAAAGATAAATCAAAGAGGGTGCAAGGTGAATCACTTTGGAAGCGAGACACTTGGATCGCTTGGTGAGGTATTATCAACAACACGTTTGGATTGAGGTATTTTAGATTGTGTAATCAGGTGGTGTTTCTTTAAAAAGTGTTTTTTTAAATAAATTATTTTTCCGCAAACTTTGAGGATCATTATTAATATATGGATGATTTAGATGATATCAGATGTCAGTGGCCAACTTGCCAAGCATCTCGTCCGTAAGATTAAACTTGATCAGACGATTCTACTTCTAATCAAGCCCATCATACATCCTAATCTTATCTATTATATGCTTTCTACCATTGGATGAAGGTTTATTTGACGCCTCTCCTTTACTTAATAGATTTGGCCTTCTAGAAGGCTATCTTTTATGATTGTTTGTTTCCCCATGCACCTAGGTCTGATGACAAGATGTTACTAGTTCTTTGTGGGCTTTAAGGGATGTGTTTAAACTTATCACTTTTAGTTTGGGTTGTGGTGACTAGGTTTGGGAGCTGAGCTCATTTTTTTCCCCCACAATATATATGATTTGATAAAGTTGATTTCAATTTTATATGATTATTCAAAATATGTTATTGATGTGTCCATTTGAGCATTAGATTATAATAATGAAACTGGATTTCCCATTGTATTACACAAAAATGAAAGTAAGTTTCGTAGATCAAATTTGTTTGTACTAGTTATTTTTCAAGCTACCACCGCTTGAGAATGGACGCAAAGTCTCCATCGTAAACTCATACATTTAAAGTAGTAAACACGCAAGCAAGAGCGATACCGTTAAAATGATTTTATAAAGGTTGTTTTTATCATTGACGTCCTTTTATATTGATGAATTAAATAATTTTTTGTTTAAACAATGTGTTGCCTAAAATATAATAATAGGGACTTTTAAAATATTATTTTTATATTTGTTTATATTAACGTATCCGGGGTTAAATTGTATTTAATTCTTAAATAATTTACAGTTAACCGTTGAACATCATTTGGGATTTTTTTTTAATTTACTTTTTAATCATTTAAATAATTGTATTGATTAACTTATATAGGACATTTTGGAAATTTTGGTTTTAACTCAACTTTTATACAAATTTGTAACTCATTCTATTTTTTGAATCGTCATAATCCTCCAATTATAAAATGACTCATTCTATTTTTTGAATCGTCATAATCCTCCAATTATAAAATAGTTGCAATTATTTTGGTCTTTATTTATTTTTTATTAATTTAACATTTTATGTAAAGATTATTTATTTAAAAAATAGAATAATTCCATAATCAAATTTTACATGCTTTTCTCATATTTGTTTTCAAAAAAAATAAAATAATAAATAATCTATTTTTAAAATCATACTAGTAGTTGACTCGTGCGATCCACAGGTTAAATTTTTTTTTTCCCTTTCAAAATGATATTTTATATTATGATAGGTTACAAAACAATAATTTTAATTTTAATTCAAAATAAAATTTAAATTTAAATTATTTATTTTAATAATCTTAACCCTATCGTTGTAAAAGTGTTATTTGAATACTTATTTATATAATAAATTTAATTAAATTATTTGTTTATTTTGATCATTTTAGTTCTATTGTACTATAAAACTATAATGATCATATAAAGATTTTATATGATATATATTAAGTTATAGTGGGACTTACATGTAGATCCTAATAGGTAAGCTTATTGTCCAATAAGTTTTATTATAATTAATGGTATTTTTCATCAAACATTATTAATTATTAATTTTCAATTTTATCACAAAAAATATCACTAATTTTAAACTTCCAGTGACCATTTAAAAATTTATTACAGAAAACGTCACTAATTGTAAGTTTTTGAGACAAGTTATAAAAATCATGACAAAAAAATTACTAATAGTCAATTTTCAGCGACATGCAAAAATTCGCCACAAAAAAATATTTTTAATGATTATTTTACTAAGACTTATTTTCAATAGGATTTGATGGGAATTATGTCTAACTATTAGGACTTATTGGTAGTTTACCTTAAATTTTTATAAGATAGATAAAATAAACACTCATTTTGATATTAAAAATAATAATTAAACTAAAAGGAGAATTTGTAATATAAATCAAAAGTGTTCTAATTATTTAAATTTTTTAGAGTCATTTGGAAAATAAGAATATGTAGAAATAGAGACCGTATAAAATTTATTTAAAAAATTAAATATAAATATGTTATAATTTAATTAACATATAATGATTTTATATGATATATATATTAAATTATAAGATAGTAAAATAAGCACTCATTTTGATATTAAAAATAATAATGCCGATGCTGAACTAGATTGCAATTTTAAATTGAAATATCTAAAATTGGCTAGTATAATTAAAATTGAATTTATATAGAATTCAATATATAAATGAAAAAATCATGCCAATGTAGTTTTTTTTATAAAAAGTAAACCTTTAGAAAGTGACACACAATAAAGACAAAACATTCTCCAACGGAGTCTATATAAAATTGATTAGTATAATTGAAATTCAATATATATAGAATTCTATATATAAATGGAAAAGATATATTAATTTGGTTTTTTAGAAAAAATAAAAAATTATAATATGCACATAAAAAAGGAAAAAATGCTTCTTATATATATATGATAATATATAAATAAAATCAAATAATGATAAATTTCTCTTAAATTTAAATTTATATTTAAAAATATTATTTGAGTTTGTATTGAAATAGATTATTTTTTAAAATATTTTTTTGTATATATAAAATTTTATTTTATCATATTTATATATAGAAAAAAAACAAATAATTTTATTTTTAAAGTTACATTAGTAGTCTATGTTTTCAAAAATAAAAGATATAAAATTAAAAAACTAAAATTATCAGATTAATTTAATATATGTTTTTTAAAATAATATATAGAAAAATCCCTACAAAATGAATGTTGAAATCATTGAAACAAAACTTGTTGGAAGGTCATGGGTATAACTAATTCTTT